AAAATTTCCTTTTCATTAGTTTTATTTCTTTGAGTATTTAAAGTTAGAATAGCGTAATTCGAGGATGTGGTCTAGTGTATAGTAGTCCTTTTTTTTCAAAAATACATGTTGCAAGCATAAAAAACTTTTTTTGATTTTACAGACTTTTCTCTTTTATATGATGCCAATTTTTTATTCTGAATTGCACTGAGTTATAAAAAAAAAATGAATTAATTATATATTTAAAATATCAAAATTCTTTTAGTGTCAAAGAAAAAACTAAAAACATAGTTTTACTATTTTTGGCCCGTATTTTCGCTTATTACGAAAAAATTATAATTTTAGGTGAATAAAAATAAAAATAGATTTTGTTGTGTTGATTGTTATTTTACTTCATAATTTGAGGCCTTATGGGAGTCCACGTACGTATGAATTTTTATTTTTAATTTTAGTGCATTTGAATAAACCAAACGACCCTCCAGTAGTTAGCAAAACACGTGATTCATTGTTTAGTCGCTTTCTTTGCAATGGAATTGTACCAAGCCCCCAAAAAACCACGTATACACGTTTTTAGGTGCATTAGGGTGTCACGAAACAATTCGTTTTCGAAATTCGATATACGCATCCTCTTAATTTTTCATTTGCTCAGCTGGCGAAAGATACAACAGTCTATAATGAATGACATTAGTTCGCTCTAACGACAAAATAAATTTTAAATGTCCTACAGCTGTGAGTGATATAAGGTCTGGGCCGTCGAAAAGACTGTCTCTAATAGTTTAATTATCAGATTGAAGAGATAGATATTTGCTATAACTTTGAAATTTTTCATTGAGACTGATAAAAATAGTGCAGCGTTTCCACAACTACGAGCTTCCACTCTTCACAAATGGATCTAAAATACACTTGGAAACCAGATTAAACTTACAAGTTTCTACATTCCTGAAATAGTTTCAGAATGAGATCTATGCAAAGTAGGTAAATGTTTTTGTTATAGACATTCAGTCTACGAGCTCATATCGGCAAGAAAATTCTTATAATTCCTATTTAAATGAGAACAAAGATTTATTAAAATATTTTAAAAGTGCAACTTACAAGACATAAATTAATTTTACAGTTCTCTGCATCTTTTTTGTTAACTCCCAAGTTTGAATAATATGTTATTATAAATATACAATGAAAAATATTTGTATGTTTTGTGAACTAGTCCAGTAAAACTGTTACGAATTCATGAACTTGTTATTATTTAAAAAAAAAAATGTGTTATGGTTTTATATAATTAACAAAATTTTAATAAAATAAAATTGAAGTTTTTTTGTTATGAAATCTGTAATAGAGGTATATCTAGAAAAGAAGATTTTTTTCCAGTTTCAATAACCCTTTTATGGGCTTTTTTGGAGATTTTACCATCACTTGGAAGATATAACCAAAATGAGTTTGAATGATTTTAATGTTTTTCATTAATTCATTCGCATTATTCCATTTGAAGGTAGAACATTTAAAACAAAATGTATATTNTTCCTATTTAAATGAGAACAAAGATTTATTAAAATATTTTAAAAGTGCAACTTACAAGACATAAATTAATTTTACAGTTCTCTGCATCTTTTTTGTTAACTTCCAAGTTATAAATACATATACAAGCGAAAATATTTGTATGTTTTGTGAACTAGTCAAGTAAAACTGTTACGAATTCATGAACTTGTTATTATTAAAAAAAAATGTGCTATGGCTTTATGTAATTAACAAAATTTTAATAAAATAAAATTGAAGTTTTTTTGTTGTGAAATCTGCAATAGAGGTATATCTAGAAAAGAAGATTTTTTTCCAGTTTCAATAACCCTTTTATGGGCTTTTTTGGAGATTTTACCATCACTTGGAAGATATAGGAAGATATAACCAAAATGAGTTTGAATGATTTTAATGTTTTTCATTAATTCATTCGCATTATTCCATTTGAAGGTAGAAAATTTGAAACAAAATATATATTCATAACTTACAAAATTCAAAACGTTGAGTGTTTTGTATATGATGTAGAATATTAAAATCTACTGCACTCTGTTTGGCTAGAAGTTTGAATGAACTCATGCAGAAGTCTATGTAGTGTGTACATAATTTCGCAAAACGATTCCCTTAATGTTCTGGTCCACCCCAATGTTCATACATATCAAATAAGAAAGCGTTAAAGGCCTATCACAACGGACAAATAACAATATGATGTGATGGTATTATTACAACAAACAAACAAATATACATATGTATGTATGTGTATATTTACATATGTATGTACATATGTACGGGTAGACGTTCACAGCAGTAATTTTCCGACGATGTTTATTTTATTTGCTCTTTGTATTTTTTTCTTCTTCTGAGCAAATATCATTGAAAGTGACCATTGGCGACAGCCAAAATGCAACTGAACACGTGAATAACTCGTGCTTCGCGCCGAAAACTAAGGTAAAATACAGATATAAATGCTTTGCATTTTGCACAAATAAAATAAGTTTTTTCGGCGTAATTTAAAAATACATGCGGAGGTGTTATTACGCGACACCAAATGGTTGTTGTAGTTAGTATGCTTGGATAACCAGTCACCCTGTTAAAGAGTCAGTGATTCACGGCTGTATCTACTGTGCGCGATCTCAATTACCTGCTGATTGCAGAGCGGAAAATACCCAAAAAAAAAATTGTTGTGCGCTGGTCACAAATGATTGAAAGTAAAGAAAACATATGTGTGTATGTGTGGATAAGCGTGCGGAAATTATAAAACGTGCGGAACCAGCCACCAGCAACAATAGCAATAGCTGCATTTACAATGCAGCAAGCGATGAAAGACTTTCTACCGCAGCGTTGTTAAGCCGAAAAATGTCACAACTCGATGTTATTGTTTTGCACATTCTTTGCTGGTTATCTTTTGTCTTCTTTGTTTTCTAAAGCATGTGCATTTTATGTATAGATGCGTGTATGTACATTAGGGTGGTAAAAAAAAATAAAAATTTAAGTCGGAATTTTAAAGCTCGCCCTGATTGCCTATACCAAAAAATATAAGCCTTTTTTATTTTGAAATCAAAATATATTTAGAGGTCGCTCAAAGTGCTTAAAGTTTTCCATGTATTTTATGTAAGGAAACAATTTTTTTTTTTGTAGATATGGTATGAAATTCTTGAAAATCAACCGGGCTGGCTGTCCAGGATATTGTGGAAATGGTCTTGAATTTGCACTTGGAATTGCATTTGCAAATATTATGCTTACTACCATGGCAACCGTTGCATTTTATTGTTGTGAATTTACATATGCACAGATAATATTTCTCGATCGCCAAAGTCTGTTTCTCTTCAGGAGACTACAATTATAGTACCAATTGCTTATTTTACCATTTTTTAATGCTAACGACTTTTTGGGCCCTCCATTGCATTTTTGGTTTTTTGGGGGCCCTATAAAATCAGTTAATAACAATAAAATGTTAAATAAACCATTTGCTATTATTGCTGATAGTCTTCTGAAGAGACACAGAGTTTTCCTACCTGCACTAAAATTCTGATTTTCCTTTTTTTTCGCCACCCTAATGTACATTAGTACATACATACATATGTGTATTTACTTATGCCGATTTCGTTTCTAGCGAAAAATGCAACCTTCTCTTTGCCCTCTACGCACAAACACTAAGGTGAGGGCGATGAAAAGCCAACATTTTTTGTAGAATCGAAATCACCATTAGAGATTTCGATTTTTGAATCGAATTTTTTCCTGTTGATAGCATATCAATTGCCTAAGGTTATTATTTTTATTTGATGTTATTTTAAGCTAATCTCAACAAGCGATTTTAAGTACGTAGAGAGCTATTAATTTGCTAATTTGCTATAAAAAAATACACAAAAAATGCAAAGCGAGAAATCAAAAAAAGGAAACCACATTAAACATTTGGTTCATTGCCAGGTGCCAAGTTGCTGAGCGATATCATCAAAACACATACATTTTTCACAAAATTTTCTTTTTGCAGAATTGCATCTAGATGGTCTAAGGGGATTTCTGCATCAAAACGAAAATTTTTGAAAAATATGTCGCTTACGTTTTTTTTCTGGCGGTTAGAGCTCGATTGTATGTACATTAGACTGAATGGATAGCCATACGAAAGAAAATATATTTCAACCACTTACGCACCTTACTATGAGATAAAAATAACGGCTCTACTATAGATTAGTGGTTGTGAAGGATTCTACAATTTGCCGTTGATTACGGACGTTTATTTTATGGGAAGCTTTTGAAGACAGACATTTACTAAATAGGAGGTTTCCCTTTTGCCCACCCAGGGGCGGTCGCGGTGAGAAATACAAAACCTTTTTCTAACGCCCTTGTGTGTTGCACTGTCCAAATATCTAATCTGGGGTTATTCATTTCGTGTTTGGGGAAGTAAAGGAGTGAGACTTTTATTTATTTTTTAAATCAATCGATCGCTGTTCGATGTCTAACAAAAAGGAATTGAAATGTTTGTTAACTGGTTAAAAAAAAAATTATTTTTTAATGTATTTTATTGTTGTAAACCGAATATAAAATAAAAAGATAACCTGATAAACAGACAGGTGTGAACATCCACAAGCCTTCTCGGTACATTTTAAACTTAAGCATTATTTTTATATAAATAACTGGTTTTTAAAGGTTTCGCACCATTTTTTCATTTTATTTTAAAACTTGAAAGCAATAATTATTTTTAAAACAAAATAAGAAATTTTTTTTTAATTTTTTAAATGCAAATTAAAAAAACGTCTAAATCCTTAGAATTTAAAATTTATCTATGTATGTTTTTATTTGCTCGAACAAAACCACTTGTTTTCGTCCACGCTGAATTTTTAGTTTGAAAATGAAGGCAATAAACTCTTATGTTCGATCTTTAAAAAATTTTCTAATTTTTTACACTCAAATTAAGTTACTTAATTGCGCTTGATACTCATCATTTTCAGTTTTCGAATTGTGAGCTAACAAATACATATGTAAATATGTATATATAATTGTTTAACAAAACTTACCATGCGCTACATTATTTATACAATCCAAGTAACGATTGCCCATCTCATCGAACATATACTGACCCTGGCCGCGTACAATTTTCAAGGGATCGGAACGATAGAATAGTTGGCAAGCTTGGCTGTTGAGTTGCACAGTCAATCATTGCAGGAAATTTGTATAATATTTATTAAAGTATAGTTATTTAATTTTTTTCAGCAACGACGAATCCATAAATTTGACAATAGGAGTACATAGAAAAGTGAAAGAAAACAAAAAAAAAAATGTTTTTTTTGTTGTGCTGTGCAAGAAAATACATATGTATGTACATACTTATGTATGTATGTATGTATTGAAGTTACATTAAAATAGTAAGTAATAGGAAGCTAAATAATTTTAAATATTTCTGTATAAAAATCCTATAAAATATATATATACTAAGGTATATGTATGTATATGAAAAGAGATAATAAAAATACAAATAAAGAATATGTGAGTATTTACAGTAGGTTGGTGCAAAAATGCATGTGAAAAAGTAAAGTTGGAATTGTTTTGCTCTCGCCCACTAGGATTGTTTTATACCGAAAAAAGATACCTCTATTTTTTTTTATTTTGAAATCGAAAAATATTTATAGTTCGCTCGAAGCGCTCAAAGTTTTCCATGTAATTTATATGGGAAAACCCACTTGGTATAGAATTCTTGAAAATAAATACTTTTCGATCGGAAAACTCTGATCCTCTTCAGGAGATTCCCAATAATAATATCCAATTATTTTTGTAACCATTTTCTCATAGCAACTATCATCTAAACGGGTAAATGCCTCGTAACTATGTAAACCTCGTAAACTTACTTGATTTTGTATGGAAAATCGGTTTATTTACAATGAATATATTTTATAGGTCCCCCATAACCCCCAGAAGTAGCAATAGTGGGATAAATAAAAAATATTTAGTATTAAAAAATTGTTAAATAAACAGTTATGTACATATTGTTATTGGAAGTCTGCTGAAGGGGACCAGAGTCTTCCGATCGAAAAATATTGATTTTCAAGAATTCCATAACATTTCTATGTAAAGTTGTTTTTTCCCCATATAAAATACATGAAATACTTTGAGCAGTCTCTAAAAAATTTTTGATTTCAAAATAAAAAAGGGGCATTCTTTTTCGATATAGAACACTCCTATGGGGTGAGGGCATTTAAATTCCGACTTTACTTATTTTGGACCACCCTAATGTACAGTCATGTGGAAAAACAATAGTGACATGTTATTTTGACCAGTTCTGGCTATTTTTCTTTTATTAGTTTAATGTTTTTTTTTTATTTTTTTTTGTATAATAAATATAGCTCATTACAAAAATTTTGCGTATGTATGCAGTTTTATAGCCCATTAAATTCTAGCTTAATAAAGTGTAAGTTTCGCATTGATTTTTGATACATTTTTTTCACTGACGGTGTCTCGCCTTTTCTTTCATACAAAGTACCTTCGACAATTTTTTTTGTATGGAAGAAAATAATAACACCATCTACAAAAAATACCAAAACTAAAAAAATCTTAATAAAAGGTTTGTGGTTGTTGTAAAATTTTGTTGAATTTTTCTAATTTTTGTATTTACAATTGTATGTTACAAATTAAATAACCAAAAGAAAAATGGCCAAAACTGTACAAAATGTCGCGTCCTATTATTTTTCACATCACTGTATGTATCGACTAAATTTTGTATGGGGCACCCCTTTATTTTGTGCTGCGTACAAAATAAAGACATCAACGAAGATTTTAAATTTTTAGGAGTCGCTACTAGGGTTTGAAAAAAATTAAATTTTTTGATCGAAAAAATTCGACAAAATTTTGACTTGAATTCAGATATTTGTGACATATTACTTAATTTTATTGAATTTTTGCTATTAATTTTTTTCTTTTTTAATTTTCGGGTAAGTCTTTATTTTGTATGTACACCCACCGGAATATGTTTCCGTAGAGTTTTTTTTTTAATCTTTTCAAGGTTCTTCGTAATAAATTATTTTCGTTAATTTTTAATAGCAACATTCTGCTTCAAATGGCATAGAAATCAATGATTCAAAGTTTTTACAAAATTTAGGAAAATTCGACAAATTTTTTCCAAAACTTTCAACTTTTAAACGAAATTTTTTAGAATTTTTTGAGTATGCAGTTTTGTAGTTTACTCAATTTCAGTGTAATAAAGTGCAAGTTTTAAGCTGCCACTGATTTTTGAGATTTTTTTACTGACGCTCTTCGGCATTTTTTCCCATACAAAAAACACTATCACGCATTCGTTATATGGAGAAAATGAGCCACATTATCAGCAAAAAAAATTCTCAAAAATCAACGGTAGCTTATAGCCACTATAAACTTGCACTTTGTTATACTGAAATTGCGTAAACTATAAAACTGCATACTCAAACAAATTCTACAAAATTTTGTTTAAAAGTTGAAAATTTTCGAGAAAATGTGTCGAATTTTCTTAAATTTTGTAAAAACTTTAAAGCACTACTTTATATGTAGATTTGATGTAGAATTAACTATATTTCTATTAAAAATTAACGAAAATAATTTGTATGTAAGCCCAAAAAGGGGGCCCGCCACGTGTAGCATTTGAAATTGCCTCAGTGTCGAGCGACAGTGGCTCGTAGGGAGCTGGTGGGGAGAGTGGTGCTCCAACATATTGTAGTCGCGAAATTTCAACTTTTTCTCGCCTTTGTAAGCGATCACGATCTTTTACGTTGATGTCGATCGCCAACGAGTGATAGACAAACATTTATATATGTACAGTTGATAAGCTTTAGCCACAATTTGTTTGCATTGGCATTGTTTTTTTTGTGGTGTTAATTGTTAAGCACCTTATTTTGCGCTTTTGCTTTAATTGCAAATTTATTAATTATGTACTTATTTGTTAGATTATAATTAATAAACAAGAGAATGTTTTGAAATTTATTTGATTGTGCAAAATGCACTAATAACAGGGCATTCATTATCATTTTACTTAGTGACGGCATAGCAACGCTGCAAAGGTGACAGAAGTTAAGTGTAGTTTTTTGTGTGAAAAGAAACGTTGCTTACAAAAGTGCAAAAAAAGCATTAGGGCGTTATTTTCGATTCTCTTCAACCGAACTTGCGCTTAGCCTTACAATTTCTCTGCTGGGTAGATACGTATGTGTTTATTGTTGTACGTTTAAACGCACAGAGGCGACGGAGCAGTGAAAGTGGGTAGGCGCAGGCGTACAAAGGATGCTGCGTGCTTTAAGCAACAAAACAAAACTNTTCTCTGCTGGGTAGATACGTATGTGTTTATTGTTGTACGTTTAAACGCATACAGGCGACGGAGCAGTGAAAGTGGGTAGGCGCAGGCGTACAAAGGATGCTGCGTGCTTTAAGCAACAAAACAAAGCTTTTTTTTTAGATTTTCCTTTTATTTTTCCCATGTCGTTTTGCCTGCTTTTGCGTCTACATATTGTACTTGATTCGCTTAGTGTTTATTGTAGTTAGTACGAAGGATACTTTTTTATCCTCCCCTCAGCCTTTGAGTGTTTGCCCACTTGGCGCAGTGAGTTTGGCGCCTTTCATGACCTTGATAATGAAATCTCTTCAAGGCAACGACCTTGCACCGGAATAAGCCGCATGGCACACGTACTTATTCAGTATACTACTTGAGTGAGAGTGTCATACATAAGTACATATATACTTAAATATATACAGGTATATAAACTTGTAGTATGGACTTAAAAGCTGTTAAGTACACAAACATCTGGTTGCTTCTGCTTGTTTCAAATTGTGGGCGCCCACAAACCAGAACTCTCAGTAAAAGATATTAATTTACATAAATGTTATAAAAGGAGCAGAAATATACGAGTTAAATTTATTTTAATGATTAAAAAATGTAATTTTTTATTTTTACTTTTTATGACGTTTGCGGGCTGCGTAGAACTGAATTATGTAATCTAAAGAAAGGTTCCGGTAAAAGGAAGAGGCCAAATGATCACGAAAAGGCAAAGACAAATATCCTTTCCGAAGCTCCCAGTAAAACTCGCAACTACCAACAAATTCAGTAAATCTTACTTAAAATTATTTTTTATAATATGAGAACTCTTTTCTTTATTGAGACGGAAACGATCAGCAAAACAAAACAGAATAACTGAATGATGCGGAAGATAGGTGGGTTCAGGATTGAATATTTAGTCCCGCGCTCACTACAGCTCAGAGAAAAAAGTCACAATGCTTCCAAGGAAATTTATTGTTTAGGCTGATCATCTGCATTTGCGACAAAAAAGCAGCTCTTTTGTGACATGAAGACATGGTCACAGAAGGGCTTACTTTCGTTCTTACGCTTATATGAAGTAGGTTTGGGGTGGTTTAGGACTTAAATTCACCAATCCACCACTGTCTCAAAGCTAAGGCGTAAACAGAGGTACTACACATTCATTAAAAGAGAAATTAAGGTAACCAAGAAAGTGGCCAAGACCTTCACTTAAGAATGCTAATGAGCAGGGTTCCAGATAATTTAAAACTTTTAACTAAGTCGTTTTTCGACATTTTGTTGCCAATATTTGATAAAAAATATTTAACGGAAACTTTTTTTATTGTGGATTTGTTAAATTGGGGATGAAAATTTACTGGCAATTAAAAAGAAAATTTTTTTGTCACTTGCGCAGCAAATAAAATTGTACAAATTTTTAAAGATACGTTTTCAAACTCTTAAACGCCTTTTTATTTTCTTTTTTTTAATAAAATATAAAAACGATTTTGGAAAACAAAAAACAGCAAATTTTTGGCAAAGTAAAAACAAACACAACTGTTTTTTTTACACACCTGCAAGAATAATTTTTTTTTATTCAATTTAAAAATGTTTTTTTTGTTTTTTAACTATGAAAGAGATTTTTTATTTGCATTATACAAGAACATTTTTCGAATCAAAATCTAAAAAGTTTTGAGGAAACTCTTAAAGCTCTTTTTTAATTGCGAAAATGACTTTCTTTTTTGAATTAGGGAAAATATTTTCTGACTAAGATTTTTGTTGATTTCCCATTGCGAAGTTTAAAAATCAAAATCTGACATTGGTTTAAACCATATCATCTTTTGGTTTCGAAATTTTTATTTAAAAAAATTCAAGATTTTTTGCATATAAAAAATTTAGAACAACCTCGCGATTTTTTTGTTTGAAGATTTGATATTTTTTTTTAGTTACGGAAAACGTTTTTTTTTTAACATATACACGAACTTATACTAGCAAATAAAATAAATTTTTACTTCCCCATCAAATTCTCAATTGTCTAATAATACGATTTTCACACTCCTTAAACCTGTTTTATTTTTGAGAATTTTGTTTAGAGGCCAACTTTTTTGATAATAAGTAAATGTTTTCGCTATTTATGTAATATTTTTACAGCAAATTTTTAAACAAAAGGATTTTTATGAAAATCTGACAACTGGTTAAAGCCACATCATCTTTTTGTAGCGAACAATTTTATTACAAAAATACAAGTTTTATTTTCAAGTATGTATTAAAAAAATAATACATAAATAAAAATTCTTGGCAAACTAAAAACAAACTTAGTTATTTGCTTTATTTAATTTTGAATTTTTGTTTTTTTCTATTGTTATTAGATTTTATTTAAACTAAATAAAAAGCAAAAATTTCGTTTTTCCATTTTTAAAACCGTCGTCTAAATGACTATAGATTTCTCTGGCGGTTGAAAAATATAGGAAGCAACATTTTTGGTCTTCAAATAAGGGGAGGTTAGCAATTCGTTGATATAAATCTTTTTAACTAAGTACATATTGGCATCGTATTCGTAAAAAAATTTAGCTAAAATTATAGTTTATTTAATTAAACTTCACCGCTCAGAAATTTTTTAATTCGGTTTGCAATAACAAATCTCAAAATTTTTGAAATAATTAAATGACTTCGAAATCAACCGATTATTGTAACCAGAAAAATATTTATATTTATTTCTCATAAATTTTTAGGGTAAAAAAAAAATTCAAAGAGAAATATTTATCATTTTGTTAATTAACAAACACGGGATTTCACTTTTTTAATTTACGTAAGATAGTTAAAATACTTCGCTTTCAAAACCAGTTAAAATTATTCTAAGTTAAATATTTTCCGTATATAAAATCACCTCTCAATACTTACATAAATTTAAATATAATCGTAAACGTCCTTACCCGATATGTTTATTCCGCAATTTGATGGTGTCCGACTTGGACAACTTCTCGCTCATGGCCGACTCCAACTGTTCGCGCGTGAAAGACATTTTTCAAAAACTGTTTGTTTATACTTTTCCAAATTTTAAGAAAGCGGGGGAACACTTAAAACTTTATAAGTCACTTTATATTCGCAAATATTTTAGGTAGTATGTTGCTAGCAACTGATTGCTACTACCGCGTCCACTGCCTGTCAGCAACTGATTTCAGAAAATTGTCGTTGCTCTGTAGATACGTGTAGGTACCAGTCGCGTAATTTTTTGCTTCTGCGCCTGACGTACTTGTGCTTCTTGCCTGCTGACGCTCAGCTGTTCTGGGGCTTGCCTGTTGCCAGTGAATGACGAATACGTTGGGTATGACCAGTGTTTTTATATGTGGCGGTTTAAACGCCGGATGGGCATGCAGGCAGGCAGGCCCGGCTAGCGAGCGAGCGATAGGCGGCCGGCGTTAAGGCATTCGTAAGCAAGTAAGTAGGCAGGCAAACAGGCAGGCAAACAAGCAAGCAAGCAGACAGGCCCGGTTAGCGCGCTTTATAGTGAGCTATGCATGTACGTAAGTAAGTAAGCGTGTATGTATGTTTGTTTTGCATGTAGAACGCTCACTTTAGATTTGGTGCCTCTGGTTGTTGGGTTTATTGGATTGGCGACGACGACACTTTTACTATTATTACTGGCGTTAAGTCGCACTCTACTACATACTGATTTACGCATCAGCACTGCAATGTCCGTCCCGTAATCTGTCATCTACCCACATACTTTCACATACATAAGTACTCCCCAACTTGGCGCTTACTTAGTCAGTCAACGATTGTGGCGTAGTTTGCCGCTGGCTTGGATTTCTGTTATCAGTGCTCTGTGCCTGCGCTAAATCTATTGCAATTCAGTTTACTCTTCATTCATTTATTATTGTTGTTTAAATTCTTAAATCCAAATGCGCGCGAACTGAGTAATCCCGCAGCTGATAAGTGATAAACAAATGAGTTTGTGCATATAAAACTTTTTTAAATAAACCAATAAACTGTGGAATGAATTGACGATTTAGCAAATGGATGATGGAGCGGACGGACAAAGTAGCAGACGTGCTACACCGACGTTAGGCGTGTATACTAATGGCGCTACTTGCAGCAAAATATCATCTAAAGGTTTCGGTGCTGTGACGCTTGAGTTCTATTTCCGAATACATAATAATAATAATAATAATAGATTGGCACTTACACATATGTTAGTGTTTGGCCGAGCTTCTCCTCCGATTTGTGGCGTGCGCTTTGATATTGTCACACAGAGCGGAAGGACCTATAGTTTTACGCCGACTCCGAACGGCGATTGTATTTTTATGGGAAGCTGTTTTTCATGGCAGAAATACACTCGGAGGTTTGCCAATGCCTGCCGAGGAACGACCGCTGTTAAGAAAAAACTTTTTTTCTATATTTTTTGCGATGTTGCTTTGACCAGGGTTTGAACCCAGGCGTTGCGGAGTGGAAGCGCGCACTGCTTACCACTAGAGCTTATCTTCAATACCCTCTATCTGCAATTTTCCCAAAAACGATTTTTTGTGATGTTAAGAACCCATCTGGAACTTACCTGTCATCACTGATGTTAATTCAAACTTTGAAATTTAAAAGTAAATTCTTCTGTCAAGCTTTATACAAGGTCAGCATTTACATCACCGATGACAGTTAAGTCTAAGGTGGATTTTTATATCAGAATTTTTGTGAAAAATCCAGATAGGGGGTATTGAATATAAGCCCTCAATAATATTAAGTGCCAAGACAAAATACTTAGACAATTTTTTCGGCTGAAGTGCTCAATGGCTTTTATGAGCTTTTACACTCATAAGCATACTTTCAATTAAAGATAATGTCTGGACGGAAGCTTGAGGTTATCTGCTGAGCAACGCGGAATCTATCGCATGAATTTCAATTTCAATGTAGCGCAGCTTCAATTATGATTTATGCTTAAGTTGTAAACAGATGTAAACGGTCGCATATCTACACATGTGCGCCTTGATGGATTCACACATATTTAGGAACCTTCAGCTTTACGCCGTCTCTGTGCCACAGATGTTTTATGAAAAGCTTTTTCGTGGCAGGAGTACACTCAGAGGTTTGGCATTGCCTGTCGAGGGGCGATTGCTGTCAGCAAAAAAACGTTTACCATTTTTGANTTATGAAAAGCTTTTTCGTGGCAGGAGTACACTCAGAGGTTTGGCATTGCATGTCGACGGCGACTGCTGTCAACAAAAAAACGCTTACCATTTTTGGATGTATCAAGGGACGAACCCAGGTCCTCGGCTACGGCGGCCGCAGACACATGCATATGTAAATATGTTTATTAGGGTGCAGCGAAAAAAATCAATTATTCTATTTCGAAATTCTAAGGCCGTCTTCTTTGGTGATTTAATTTTTTGATCGGGGCCTAATCTCACTTTTCAAAATGAATTATGCCTGCGCAAAAATACTGTGGATGGCGTAGCTGGAGTTGGACTGATGAGGGTTATTTTTTCGAAGCGCAGCCGAAGACCGCCAACACGGAAAGGTGTTCTACGCTAAAATGCTGAGGTCAGCCTACCCGGATTTGGACTTTTGTGGACTATATTTTCGAGGCGCGGCCAAAGGCTAATTTTACGCCATTTTCAAATGGTTGCCCAGGGGTCTGTAGAAAAGCCATAGAGGGAAAGAGCGAGTTTTCTTAGAGTCGAGGAATAACGCCACTTTTCAAAATGAATTATGCCTGCGTGACCTTATTAAATTCTTCTCGGTTTTGACACACGCGACCCTAATTCACAAGGCCTAATGGTCGCGCTAAGAGCATTGAAGTTCCGAAAAATCTCTTCTTTTAAAAAACTTTCTAGACGATTTTGAGCATGCGTTCTTCTAGCCCATTAAATTTTAATGCAATAAGGTAAAAGTATCAAGTGGCTAAAAAATCGAGTTGATTTTTTTCGAAATCGAAATTTTGTTCGCTCCACTCTAATGTTCATGCATAATACGGTGTTTATAATACGGTGGAAAATACTAAATAATAATAAATCTGGCATCTTGCAATTTTTTTTTTCTTTTGCTTTTCTGTTCGTTTTTTGTCAATAAAACATAAAAAAATGCTTATTTCATAAAACGTATTTAAGGAAGATTTTGTGAGTTTACGGAGGTTGTTCGATTTATCGGGAATATCGGGAAAGGATTTTGGTCCCGGCCCGGTCTCAGCTGGCTGGTCAAATTTAATTTTAAATCTTTTAATTTTTTCGTTGGGATCCTTCGTTGGAGCCCTTGGGAGTAAATGCAAACATCCATGTAACGAAGAATCGATACACTCGTTGGGACATACTTCATTTCAAAGTAGTAGAGGCTAAGATTAAGATTGGGGTTGAGATAAAGGTTAAACTTGNGAGTAAATGCAAACATCCATGTAACGAAGAATCGATACACTCGTTGGGACCTACTTCATTTCAAAGTAGTAGAGGCTAAGATTAAGATTGGGGTTGAGATAAAGGTTAAACTTATGGTTAACGTTGAGGTTAAAGTTACAGGTGGGGTTAACGTAAAAGTTAAGGTGAAAGGTGAAATTAGTCAAGAACGCAGAACTTATTCTTAAACGCTGTCTGTATACGCAGAATTTTGTCGATTACTGGAGCCCTCAGTGTTGCTTACTACAGTGTTGCCACTCATCAATGCCTTTTCATAAACTTACCTTTTCATCTACAATTTTTCGTGCTATAATAGACGCTAGCTAAATATAAACTATTTATTTTTCAACAAAAAACCTTATTCGATAGTTAATTTCAAATATTTTGAATAGGAGCTTATAACTTTTTTACCATCTGCAGAACTGACGAAGTGACAACCATCTAGAGTAGGAAGAAATCAGTTGACACGGAAAAATATAAATTCCGCAGATTTCTGCGCTACGGGCTACAACTGCAGAAAAATTCTGCGGTGTTGAGTTTTCATTTACATGGCACTCTGGTAAGACAGATCGGGTCAGCTGACTCGGGTTTACGTACCGGTAGGTTTACGTTCTTGACTAATTTCACCTTAAGGTTGATGTTGAGGTCAAGGCTAAAGGCATGGTTAAGGCTAAAAATTACTATTTAGCAATTTATTTTATAGAATTCTATTCAATCTTGTTTGAAAAAATTTTATAATACCTGTTGACCTACAAGTAACCCAGATAATTGGTTCCAATTTCTTACATAACTTTTCTTTGAAATATATGGATACATATCTATCTGGATACAGGGTTTCGTTTCAGCTCACTGGGCACCCGTTTGCAGCAGCGCTTACTGGTGAACAAACGCTGCTGGCTTAAGTGAGCCTTTGAGCCGAATAAGTCGGAGTGGACGCAGCTGCCAATCTTTCCTAAGTTACCCAATGCTTCACACGGATTGGTTACCGTATCTCGCATATGGGTTGCCCACGTTGCGCGAACGGGACGTGATTTAAAACCTAGATTTAAAAAGAAAGCTCTAAGAAAGTGACGTTTTTTTTTGAAGTTGTTTATTTTTTGCTTTATTTTCATGATGTTTAGTGTTTGCGTTTCATTTTTAAAATTTTGGTTAATTTCGGTTTATTTCTGCATGCGCCAACTGTCTGCTTCTTTGAGGGGATTTTTTGCATTTCGGGATGTTAATTTCAATATTTACGTACATATGTATTTATGTATGTATGTATTTTATATAATTGTATGCAGTTAATACAAACATACCTGTATAAGTAAATGTAATAAGTTAATGCATGTATTGATTATTTATTTAGGTTAGTTAGTTAATGTATACACACATGTTTACATATACGTACATATGTATGTGTATATACATGTGTAAGCGGTTGTTGTTCACATACAATCTTTCGAAACGTACAGTTTTATTGCAAAAACTTAAAATGTTTTTTGTTTTTTGGTTTTATAAGCGGTTTGGTATATTGTTGTTGGTTATTTTAGTAGATGAATCTCTTTTGCATAAAATGATAGCATGTTAGCAAATTTGATTAAACATTCAAAGGAGTTTAATTTAAGTATTCGCCTGTAGTTGCCTGTTTAGCTGTTGCTGTAATTTGTTATGTTTGAAATGGCTATTGTTAGAGAATATTTTCTTGCTGGTTTTTTTTCACATTTTAATTAATATGTATGTACCTTCGGTTTTAAATTTTGCAATTGAANTAATTTGTTATGTTTGAAATGGCTATTGTTAGAGAATATTTTCTTGCTGGGTTTTTTTTCACATTTTAATTAATATGTATGTACCTTCGGTTTTAAATTTTGCAATTGAATATTGTGTATTTACTTACTTGTTGTTGTAAGCTAAATTACAAACACATTGTTGCGACAATTCTTATTTAATTTTTATGGTTTTTGGGGGT